GTTTTATCAATTTTGTGTAATTTCCTTTCAGTAAAATAATTACAATTTTTTTATATTAATAAAAAGGAAAAACAAAGAACACTTATTTTTTACTTAAGTTATCTTAACTTGCTCTTTTACCAACCTGTTGGAATAATGTTTGTAAGGTCTGAATAAAATACTTTTTAAAACATATTTGTATATTATTATTGCACATCCTTTTAAAACACAGACATACAAAATTTATTATAATAATATAATATTATATAAAAATATATAATATTAAAAGTCGGCAAGAGGCCAGACTCCGAATTGATGTTGGAGGCTTTACGCGGTGACAACGCGAAACTCCGGTTTCAGTGTTGCCAATGCTGCGAAACCAATTCTCGGATTTTATGTAGTGGCGCATGTCTGTACACACATGACACCATGTGTACACGTACATACACCATTGCATTGCTCACGCGGACGCACCGTAAAAAGACAAGGACCGATAGTCACGTATTGTCCTTGTTCCTCTACCACAGATTAATAGACAGATCGCCAAAGGCCTGTCTAAAGAAGAAACCGTCGTTTTTGCCCCTTACCGGCACACTTTGCCCCTGGTTCGAGTCTAGGCTAATAAAATCCTTTGATTTTACCAAAAAACTTTGCCTTTGGTGCGAGTTCAGGCTAAAATCTTTTTATTTTACACGTCATAATCAAAGGATTTTAGCCTGAACTCGCACTAGAGGCAAAGTTTTTGGTAAAATTAAAGGATTTTATTAGCTTGAACTCGAACCAGGGGCAAAGTGTGTCGGTAAGGGGCAAAAATGATGGTCTCCTCTTTAGACAGGCCTTTGGCGATCTGTCTATTAATCTGTGCCTCTACCGTGCCGGTATACGTGAGATGCGGCCTGAAAATGCTTTCTGGCTTTCCGTAGCAGAAGGCAGTAATGTAGCAAGGCTAATAAGCACCTACTTTTTGTAAATTTTATATATGCTTATGCATATATGTGTGTATATATATATGCAAATAATAAATCAAAAATTACATGTTTCCAAAATGTACAATGATACATAATAATAATAAAATAATAATGCAAAGAGTAAACTAATGTTCAGAATGTAAAACACGGGCGCTTATTAGATTTGGCAATTGATTGCTTTTTTACTAACAATAAGCTCCACTGTCTCACATCTGTCTCATTTACACTACTTCGAGATCTGGCCGCCACGAGCGCTCGGGAAATCTTTGCGTCGCCAATATATATAGGCTGTAACGCGATGTCTTTGCGTCTGCATATATATATATATACAGGGTGTTCCGGAAAAACCTTCCGTTCTTAAAATGACAGATTCCTGACACAACTCTGAGATGATTTTTTCTTTACCATTTTTTTATTTGAAGCGTAGTTTTTGAATTATAAGCAAAAATAGTTAGCCAATCACGCGTCGAGTACAGAAGACGAGGCAGGAGCGATTATCAATAGCTCAATAGCTCTCGTGATCGCGCAGTCTCCACGGCGCGCCGCTCCTGCCTGCTTTCTGTACTCGACGCGTGATTGGCTAACTATTTTTGCTTATAACTCAAAAACTATACTTCAAATAAAAAAATGGTAAAAGAAAAATCGTCTCAGAATTGCGTCAGGAATCTGTCATTTTAAGGACGGAAGGTTTTTCCGGAACACCCTATATATATATATATATATATATATATATATACAGGGTGTTCGGCAACAGGTGGGCCAAAATGTAAGGAGTGGTTCTACATGATAAAATAAGACGAAAATCAAGAATGACAAAATTGCGTCCGAGACTTCGTTTATTAATTATAAATATTTTAAATTATTAATATTTTTACGATGTAAGTATCTGTGTACTTATGCGTCACAGTGTATTTTGACGGCGACTCCACCGATGTACCTTTCGCACGCCAGATATCGGCAGATTGCCGTGCGTCAGGCGTCCTTAACGCAAAGTGTAAAATATTTATAATTAATAAACAAAGTCTCGAACGCAATTTTGTCATTCTTGATTTTCGTCTTATTTTATCATGTAGAATCACTCCTTACATTTTGGCCCACCTGTTGCCGAACACCCTGTATATATATATATATATATATAATATATATATATATATATATTTACTCAGTTAGCAAAATGTTAGCAGAATGTCGGCAGTATGACAGCAAATTTAATCATGATTTTGAAGCAGATTCCTGTCCACTGTTTCCGCAATTGATGACATTCTGCAAGCATAAACAGTAAGCAAAATTTGACAGCAGATTAGCGGCAAAAACCGAGATCTGCACAATATAGTTGATATAGCAAATTGGCGGCAGAAACCGAGCGGATTTGTCAAACACAATCTGATAACAGATTGGCGACAGAAATCGAGCACGATCTACCCAATTCCTTGTTATTTGAATATATGATAGAATTGAATATTTTTCCGTAAATATGTACATAAGATGTATCATCCGTTAATTATAATTTTTTTTCATAAATATGAAGTTTAATGTATAACATATATTATATATTGTAATTATATCTTACATAGCAATGAAATGTTTTAATTTAATTTAATTAATAAAATAAATTTTAAAAATAATTAAATTTATAATTTATAAAATTCAAGATATAATTTATAAGAATTAAATTCTCTCTTGTTTTACGCTTTAAATGGGAAATAAATGGATAATTTTTCATTTATAGGATATAAATCCTATTGATTTTAATTAGTTTAATATTCTTATATTAGACTTGTCAGATATCAGAAAAGAAAAATATATACTTTAGATCTTTTATTTATAGCCACGACTTGCAGACTTTACATCTATGTCTAGAAATTTAACTGCGAGAAAATACATCGCATAGCGAAGGAACTATTAAATAGCTACAAAATGCAGATCCATGTTGTCAATTTGCCATCAGATTGTGTCTGCGCAAATCTTGCTTGATTTCTGCCGCAATCCGACATCAAACTACGTTGCACAGATCCTGCTCGGTTTCTGCCGCCCATCTTATGATAATTCTATACAAATCCTGCTTAATTTCTGCAACTAACTTGTTGCAAAATTATGTTAACAGATTTTATAACAAAAATTAATTGACAAGCTCAATAGTTAAAAATATAAGATTTAATTTTTATTAGGCTTTTTTTGAGCACGAAGTTAGAATAAAATAAAATAAAAAAGACAAAATATAAAATGTAACATTTATTAGAAGCGGAACGTTTCGTACTTTTACAAGACTTCTTCAGCCGCAATATACAGACGCTATAAACATAATATAAAACTTAAATTTAAAAATTTTTTAAATATTAAATATAATGTGGGTATTGTCTACATAATTAAATTAAACTCACCAATTGTTTGTCCAAGTTAGAATAAATAAATTTTACAAAGTGTCAAAAGATAAAAATTATTTTGCATGTATACGTGTCAAAATTATTCGGTGTATAATAATCACGATTACTTAACAATAACTATATTGGGTTATGTACAGACAATGACATCAAAAATAAAGCGACGGTATTATATATATTAAGCAAAACAGTGACAAAAGGACGATGACAATTATGTTATATAATTTTGTTTATTAAAAATAGAATCTAATAACGGAAAGTACGAAGAATCTAAATATTTGCTATTTTCTGTCGCGTTTAGACCATTGTGTTGTTGTTTTATGTGGATAGTCTCCGAGATCAATCTTTTATAATAATTTCTTTCGTAATCTAAAATCTTAGGATTATCCCAGTCAAAATTATATGATTAGTTTTCATGATATGTTGAGACACTACCGTGTGTTTTGTCTCATGATGTTTTATATTCGTCCTATGTTCTCTTATCCTAGTATGCAACTGTCGCTTAGTCTGTCCAACATATGATGCTGAGCATTTTTTGCATTCGATCTTGTATATAACGTTATTATTATATTCTTTTGGAGTGGTATCCTTATGAACCTTAATCATATTATCAAGCCTATTTTAGCACTTATATCTCGGTGCAAAATCTGTATTCCGAAAGGACTTGCAGATATGTTCAGTTAAATATTTAATATAAAGAATTGCTATAAATTTCACATCTGGTTTTTTATTAAGTTGGTTATCAGCAGTATTACTCTGACATAATTTTGTAAACATTAATTTTTTTATCTTGCAAAGTAGGCCTCCGTGGCGGCGATGACCTCTTCATTCGACTCAAATTTCTGCCCGGCGAGTGACTTTTTCAAGTTTGGAAACAAAAAAAAGTTGCACGCGGCCAAATCTGGAAAATACGGTGGATGGGGCAGCAGTTCGTAGTGCAATTCGACCAATTTGGCCGTGGCGACGGCGGTTGCGCTTGTTGTCCGGAGTGAGCAAACGCGGCACCCATCGCGCCGACAGCTTTCTCATGCCCAAAATTCCTCAACATGCTTGTAGATAAAAAACAGGGGATATTCATTTTCCAACAAAGTGTCTATTACATATTTCAGGTTTTTATTATGATATTGATAAAATTTTATAACATTTCTAACAACATTTTGCTATCATTATCTGATATAACAGGTTTTATATATAATCTGCAGTATTTTTGCTGGCAAAAATATATAGCACCAATTTGCAATACATGCTATTGGTATGCTTAGCTATCAGGGTGTATATATATATATATATATATATATATACGAGGGTGATTCGATAAGTACTTAGCCTCACCGCCCGATGGTGCCAGTATTGCAAGAGAGATTTACTATTGTGTAGTACATTCTCGTAGACGGCTACTGTCAAAATTTTAGCCGAATCGGACTCGTAGTTTTGTTTTGACCGCGTGTAGAAGCGGGCGTGTCCGCGGATTTTAGAAAAATGGAAAAGAGCAATATCGGTCGGTGATTCGATTCTTGTTTTTGGAAGGGAAATCGCGCAGCGAAATCAAAGAGCGCTTGGATGCTGTGTACGGTGACTCTTCTCCTTTGATGGCGACCGTCAAAATTTGGTTTAACGAGTTTCAACGTGGTCGCACGTCGGTTTTGATGAGCCACGTCCAAGTGCCCCAAAAATGGTTACCACGGAGGATAACGTGACAAAAATCCACGATCTCGTATTGGCAGACCGCCGATTGAAGGTGCGCGAGATAGCTGAAACAGTAGGCATCTCAAAAGACCGCGTGGGTTATATCCTGCATGAAATTTTGGGCATGAAAAAGCTGTCGGCGCGATGGGTGCCGCGTTTGCTCACTCCGGACAACAAGCGCAACCGCCGTCGCCACGGCCAAATTGGTCGAATTGCACTACGAACTGCTGCCCCATCCACCGTATTCTCCAGATTTGGCCGCGTGCAACTTTTTTTTGTTTCTAAACTTGAAAAAGTCACTCGCCGGGCAGAAATTTGAGTCGAATGAAGAGGTCATCGCCGCCACGGAGGCCTACTTTGCAGACCTCGAGAAAACGTATTTTTCAGATGGGTTAAAGAAGTTGGAGCATCGCTGGGTCAAGTGTATCGAGCTAAAAGGAGACTATGTTGAAAAATAAGTCGCCATTTTTCCAAAATTTTCGTTTTTCTTTGTGTAGGCTAAGTACTTATCGGACCGCCCTCGTATATATATATATATATATATATATATATATATATATATAATCTTTATTCAGCTATATGCCAAGAATAGGACTCGTTTACAATTCTGTTGTCACCTTCTCCAGATTTTCTTTTAATAAATAGTTGGGTGTTTCGTTCCTCAACCCTATCTCCTTATATCCTATATTGTATTTTGCCTCTACTATTTTGCTATTTATTAATTGACCTTGTATGTCCTGTTCTCTTATTCTTATTTGACCTTCCATGTTTCTGCCTTCTCTGTTCAATTCCTTTATTACTAGTGAGCTCCACCTGTTATTATTATAATATTTTTCTCGTTCCATTCTGTAAAAATCTCCTTTTCCTTTGGATATTTTGTCCTTTTCCGTCCAGCATAATTTTATTAGGTTTTTATCTTTACTTTCTCTACTTCTCTTCTCATACCTCATAGCTCTTATTCCCTAATTTATTTTGAGTATTTCCAAATTTAGTTCTTTCAAGATCACATATCTTGAAGTGCAGAAATCCAAGTTGTAAACCCATCTTATGTAATCCAGCATGACCTTTTCCAGCTCCTTTTTTTCGCTCCATCCCCAAATCTCAGCGCCGTATTCCATCACGCTTTTCACTAAGTACTTAAACAATATCCATCTCCTAGTAAAATCGTTTCTGCATACTCTTTCTCCTGTAACATCCCGTCATTTTTCGAAACCGTATTTTTGTGCGCTACAAATCCTTCTAAATAATTACTTAAGAAATGCAATTATATTTCTCAATATTATTATTATTCATTATTTATAATTATTAGGACGATTTTACTAACCGTACTAACATATAGAGTCTTCCTAGTTCTAACTAAGCGGCTCAGCCAATCGAACAGCGTCACTAGACTATACCGGGGCGCATACTTCCAACCACACGTATACATTCGTGCGACTAACTGAACCGCATATAAATGCGACACTGGCCAAGTTTACATCAAGCACTTGATACGTGTATCAAATAGTAAATTACTAGTAAATTGGTTCAGTTATTGGCTGACTAGTTCAAATACACTAATTGTCACGTCCAAACGATGGTTCCTTTTCTCTTCCTACGCCTAGGCTAGGGAGAAAAGAGGGCGCTCTCTATTTTTTGCGGGGCAACCTGCTTAAGCCTTGTGTCCACGATGCTAAAAATCGGTCCGAGTTCTCGATCCGAGAAAAAGTTACTAAAACTCGAATCGTGTACACTACCAACTCAAATGAATATCTCGAATAGAAATGTCGAACAGAAAAATGTATCCTGTCCCATTTTTCCATACTAGTTACTAGATTTATTTCTTGTTGCCAACATTATTACTTTATAAATAGCTAGTCAATCGCGTTGGACATGAAAATATTCATAACCTGCCATCCATTGCACCAATGCAATTTGGTACATTCCATTGTCTCAAATAGTTGTCAGCAACATGATTCCATTCTTCTTCAGTATCTGGAATCTAAAATATTGTATATGTTTTACTTTAAATATTTATTCATATTCGATATTAGAAAATATAAAAATTACAATTTTAATACTCACTTTTAAATATTCATCTTTTAGTACTTCATAAATTACTCTAACTGTTTCAGGAATGATACGTGATAATGTACAAGCAGGTACTCTTGTTGTGAATTCCATACTGCAATATGATTCTCCCGTTGCTAGATATCGCAGAGTCAGGGATAGTCTTTGAATTGGTGGAATACTCTTTCGCATAACTGTATCTTGTCTTTGAATAAATGGAGATACTTTATCTAACAAATTATTAAATAATTGATAATCCATTCTAAAGAATCTATGAAAAGATTCTACATCTTCATGAAGAAGTTCATTAAGGGCTAAGTGCACAGACCCTCTTAATTGGAATTCTCTTCGTAAAATCCATGCCCTTGTCCACCATCTCCGTTGTCTTTTTTCTTGTATTTCTGGCCGTTTTTCTTGCTGTTCTATAACCGCAGCAAAGGCAGTAAAAATCAGCAATTTTTTGAGTTGTTTCTTTTTTGCTGAATTATTCATTTTTATATTAGATGTGTTCTCTTTCAGCTTCTTAATAACTGCTTTATTAAATGAATCAAAACTTTGTAGTATCAAATTATGTATGTAGGAACAAATCTATTATAATACAAAATATTGTTTTTATTATAATTTATAATAATTAGAAATTCACAATATTTTATTGTTTTTCTTTCCAATATTTTAATGTTGGTATAAATTATAGTAACTAATTTCACATACTCGACTATAATGCTATCTGGAGTCATCAAAGTAGAACTAATTCTATTCGAGAGTTTGAATCGAGAACTCGGACCGATTTCTAGCATCGTGGACACAAGGCTTTACACCGGCTATACCCCAGGGACGCCGAGAGCTAGGACTGATGTTGGAGATTTGGGGGCTGGGAAGGCACTAGGATGGAGAATTTAAGTCACTAGTAGGCGTGACGAGACCTCGTGTAAGATTCTTGAAGTTTTCTAGAATGGAGATTATTTCATCGGCGGTCAAATCGTCCGTCATAAAATCACAAACGACGCCAACTAATGCTTTAAATAACAATTTTAGCATAAACTCTTCTATAGCTCTATCAACAATTGTGCAGTTCATTTATAAATTGTAAAGAAGTCAAAATTATCCTTGAGATATCTTATAATTTCTACTCTTAATTTTACTTTGGGAATATAAAGATTTTCTACGAGGACTGTGAACAAATTGGTATCTATTAATCCTGTAGCTAAGTCAATTAATAGTCCAATAATAATATCGATAATAGAATAAAGATCTATTTTCCTGAGTTTTTGTACAGTCTTATCCGAAAATTTAGGTCTCATTTGAATAGAAATTAACAAATAGATAGTTTTATTTCATTTTATTGGGTATTTTATATGAGTATACAGATGTTACTTAATTTAATTTTGCAAATAGGCTGTCTATTGGTCTATTTCCGTATGTCTCTCTAGTAATTGGTCCTTTAGTCTTGTATTTATTGTAAATCGATAGGTAATAGCTCTCCTTGTAATGTATCTTTTTTAGATTTGGATTTTCGGTTTAATTCGAGGTAAGTTAATAGGTCTGAGGCGGCTGCCGGTAGGTCTGGAGTGTGACCTTCCGTAGGTTTAGTTTTAATTCTGTTAGACGCGGGTGTGTTTGTGAATTGGTAGAGTTAGGAGAAATGCTAGTCTTCCAGAAGCTGCGCAATATGTATCGAAAGAATGAAACCGTTTGGATTGATTTGATGCGAGGTTTATTAGCAATCTGTTCGCGTATTAACCAACGCAGGCACGAAGCTACGTGCTTTGCACGGGTCTTTACGCCTGCTCAATGGTTTTGTTTATTTCGTCGTTTGTTTTAGCTTTCCGGTTGCTCATCTACAATAAAGTTTCCAAGTAGAGATATTTTATCTAAATTAATTAGAATGCGTCTAGATCAAAGTATTTATTTGGTTTTATGTAGTAAGGGAGGTAAATGGGTAATTCTCGGGTAGTGAAGAATGTTTGGTGGTGGAAATAAGGCGAATCATCAAGGACGGAAATGTACTTCTCAACGATTATAAAAGAATAGAGGAAGAAAGCGCAAAATCATCAAGGGCAGAAATATACTGCTCGATGATTATAAAAGAATAACTAGAGCAGGCGTGAAATAATCAAGAGCAGAACGCAGTGCTCAATGATTATTAAAGCATTGACGAGACGAAGAAAGGATGTTCGTCAATAGAGAAAGAAAACGCAACAAAATCGTTTCGATGGGTATATAAACCCTGCGGTCCTAGCATCTGAGCGGCATAATTATACTCGGCATATTACGACACACTAGATACTGCATCTCATTATGTCACTCTAAATTTCTGTACGAAACTTTGTCACGCGTTCGCCGTCGACGACGTTGACTTTCTTTATTAATTTTTGATCGCGCATAGTTGTAAAGTAAAGAGAGATACAATAAAGAACTTTAAACCATTAGAATCTGTGTACTTTTGATTTCACTACGCGCATCCCGACCGAGGTCTTCTAAGGGGGTGACGACAGGTGAACGTGCTGCAGAGCGACGGTATATAAAAGTTCATTCAACGTAAGGTAAGTACCTTTCATACTAACAAAAATCTCTCTAATATATCACTTGCATGAGAATCTGAATCCTATTCAGAAGTCGCGCTGGATCAATAATTATCATCCTACTATTATACTGCTGTGCCCTTTTTCTCTATTTTTTTATAATCGTCGAGCAGTGCATTAATTTGTCTTCTGCCCTTGATGATTTCCAACCTCCTTCTCTATCCTTTTATAATCGTCGAGCAGTGCATTAATTTGTCTTCTGCCCTTGATGATTTCCAGCCTCCTTCTTTATTTTTTTATAATCATCAAACAGTGCAAAAATTTGTCTTCTGCCCTTGATGATTTTGCGCCTTCCTTCTTTATTGTCGAGCATCTTTTTTTCGTCTTGTCAATGCTTTAATAATCATTGAGCACTGCGTTCAGCTCTTGATTATTTCGCGCCTGCTCTATCTATTCTTTTATAATTATCGAGCAGTATAGTGCTGCTCTTGATAAGTTTGCGCCTTCTTCCTCTATTCTTTTATAATCGTCGGGCACTGCGTTCTGCTCTTGACGATTTTGCGCCTTTCTTCTCTATTGTCGAGCATCTTTTTTTCGTCTCGTCAATGCTTTAATAATCATTGAGCACTGCATTCAGCTCTTGATTATTTCGCGCCTTTTTTTTTTTTTTTGACGTTGGGGAAACCGTCATGGTACCGCTCACCTCCGGGTAGAGGTAAGGGTTATGTGGGACTCCTTGTTCCCCTTGATCGAGCCACGAATGGTTCGACCAGGGGGCCCAAGACCTACCTCACTAAAACCCCAGCGGGTGTCCTGCCCGGGCGTTGGATAGGGGACGGCGAGGATGCTGGTATCTCATGCCGACCCGCCGCCCCCCCGCCATGCCG